GGTCTGGGCATCTTTGCTTAGACTGCTGCCCCCGCGACCCGGCCCCGGATAAGCGGAAGAAAATGGATGAATGGATGGACACTGCTACAATTTACTATGAACTTTCTGAGACACACAGCCAAGGACATAGGAAAAGCAAACCCATTTAATGCTACAGTTTGACATGACAGAAGTGAGGCTGGAAACCATCTCACACCAGTGACAATATGATACTTGGGTTTCAGCACCAATCACAAAACAATGCTTGTTTGACAATCCCTGTGCCATATCTGTACCTGATACCAACACCAGAGGATGCCAACTTGAACAATTTTTCAAATCTTACACATGGTGGCTTTGTACTTTTAAAACTGTATATACATTCAAATTCAGAATATACAATACATCTTAAATTAATTCCAACTTGAACTTGTTGAGTTGAGAATGAGCTGTTTCAAATTCAGCACTTTCAACCCAAATCCAACGAGCCAGATATTTCCATGGTTAAAAACTCTTGTTCTTACTCACAGGTATTCTGAGAGCTCCACAGAAGCTAATGGCCTCGGTCTGCTCCTCAGTAATTTCCTGAGACTCAGTGGCGATGGCGCCATTGATGGCTCCATCCATGTGGGGCGAGTCCTGCAACTGAGGCTTTGTCTCACCACTCTTCTGGTCACTCTAACACACAAAGACATGGATGATTTCAAGATGCCTTGTTATAGATGAATTAGATAAATGAATGTTTCGGTGAAGAACTCACATGGTGCTCAGGAGGTGTGCAGTTAACATCTTCAGGTTCTGAATAAGAGAGAGGAAAAAATGGGATTCAGAAATTAAAACCTACAAGCAACATTTAGGTTTGACAAGGGTTAGGGGGGTTAGGGTTAGGGTTAGGGTCTTAAACATGACATGATACATGGCACATTCAGCTGACGTTACAGGAGGTCATGGTGGTGTAGCTCACATTTAAAGTTACAGCACACAGAAACAATTTGCCTGAGGCCAATCACAATTCTGCACCAAGTGCAGGTATGCCAACATAGAAGCAAGGACTCCCCTCTATGTCCCAAATAAACAGACTCTTCAGTACCATACGAATCATGAAGGTGCCATATCTTTTAGTCAAACTGGAAAATTTTGTTGAAAGGTGAGTAGATTGCAGCTATGCTCCTAACTCTGACTTCATGGTATAATCCAAAACCTCATGCCTTTGTGAAAGGACACTGTGTGTAGGTTTCTCTAATGAACAGAAACTGACTTTCAACCAAGAAAAGGAAGCACAGGATCCCAGTAGAGGCGATGATGAGGCCAGGGACGATGAAGGACATTCCCCACGCTGTGGAGACAAAGACCCCTGCGATGAGTGAGCCCAAGATGTTTCCCACTGAAGTGTGGGAGTTCCACACACCCATAATGAACCCACGCCTGGTGATCAAAACACAAGCACATGAAAGATGTGAACAGCTGTCTTTACACTGCTGCTTCTACTATAGGTGAATTAAAGGTACTGCTTCACTTTCAAAGCTCTTGAAAAGACTTTTACACCCTTTGTAATCTGCCACAGTACATATATCAGTGGTGGAGGACTTGAGTCACATGAATTGACTTAAGTCAGACTTAAGCGTAGAGTTGGCAATTCCTTTCAGAGGCATTTTTTGTTACATTTCTTGAATTTCTCTTTTCATCCCAATGGCAATGAATACATTAAATGCACTGACAATGAAAAGAAAAGAATCTGTCATCTGTGGCAGCAGCAGAGCTGAAAGAAGCCTGACCAGTAATTTTACTAAACCCAAGTAAAACCACTGGATGGCCTACCTGCCTGTTATCCTACTTCCTACTTGCATACACTCTGCCCTTGTACTCACTGCGAACTCCATGTTACCGCTCTGTTCTATAGCTAAAGCTAGCAAGCTATGGCAGAGAAGGTACCAACAGCAGTTTTCAGTCACAAACAACAACTGTATTTAAGAGATACAACTAAAAAGAAGTTTGATGTTGCAAGAAGTAAAACCAGAATTAACACTGGTGTGGCTGTGTGGCTGGACAGGTTTTGTTTGGAAGGCATTTGATATTTTTCTGAAACCTGTAAATAGTCAGGCAGTGTGCATTGCAATGTGTGTTGTGATTTAGAGGGGTCAGAATGAAAGGGTGGCTCCCTAGTACAAAGTCTGTGTAATGTCCAAGTGAGCCACAGTGAGCTCATGTGAGAAAACAGCAGTGTATAGTCTGGATTATTTACACAGAACAGGTGGGCATGTTGACCGGAAGTATACAAACACCCAATGGTGAAGAAAAACATTCATTTACAGAGAAGATACCAACAAAAATATATGATCGGAGACATGACACGATTTGGGAACTTCTGTTGTTAAGAGCTGGCACCAGAATCATCAGACATATTTAAAGAATGGCCCTAACCCTTGTGCGTGCTCTACCCAGGCATCCCCACTCGCATAAACCAAATGGAGTATTTCCAGTAGGTGAGAACACCTCTGACATGGACTAGTGTGTCCTGTTGTGTGCTACATGTGTGAAAAGGCAACTCTGGACAAAGTCTGGGCCTGATTCCGCATACATAGTCTGGGGTTCGTGTGTGAAAATGACTTGGTACTGCCTGTTTAGCAGGATTATACCCTGGTACTCACTTCCCCTTTCCAAACCAGTTCCCAACACAAGCCACCACTGATGGCCAGCCGGTGGTCTGCACCAGCCCGTTCATGACCTGCAGAGTGAGGCAAACAGAGGGAGAAGACAATGTGTGTGAACTTAATGCACTGAAGCCTCATAACCCTGGAACAACCTTACAGACTACATAAAAAAGCAGGGGAAAGGAGACAAGTGTGCAGAGCTTATCAAGGTTCCCATACCAAACTTATATAAGCTCAGACACATGACTGCAGTCATGTGATGCAGCTCAGAGTCATGTGTGAATAAAGCCTGACATAAAGCCAGGAAGAGTTGATGATAAGTTCTGTACTCACTGATGGAGCACACTGTGATCACACCTGTACCGGGGGAAGGAGTTGTTTGTGAGGTTATCTAACTCTTACATGACTAAAATCTGACTGTGTTTCAGCAGCACACTGATTTTCAGAGTATGTGTGTGGTTATAACTGGTCAAAAGAACTTTAAACAAAATGTGAAGTGAAATTAAACTCCAGTTGAGGTCTTTTGACAATGAGTTGCCTCCTATGTTTTCAACCAGTCAGGGGCAAAAGAAAGTGCAGAGGTTTGTGTTGTTGTGTTTTACCTGGATGAAGGCATAGTACCACAATGAGTGGATGTTCCAGTAGAAACCGAGGCCAAACAAAGATGTGAACAATCCAGACATCAGCATCCCAGCAGTCAGGTAATACCGCAGGGGCAGGCGTTCACCAAATATCCCACTGTGAACATAAGAAAATGGTTATAACACAAACAAAAACATCACGTCTGCCAGTAACAGCACATACGAACCTGAAAAACATGCCGATTGCATAGGCAACCAGGAAGCAGTTATCCAAGACCCCAAACAGTGTCTCATAGTTCTTCCGGTCTACAGAGATAACAGATAAAACTATTAGTTTCTTTCAAACCACTGAACACTACACAACTTTCACTCCAGTTATCCAAAGACCGATGTGTGAGTATCCCCACGTCGGCCTGGTGCTTCTCACGCTGGGCAACTCTGGCAAAGGATAGAGTCCAACCCCTCTCCAGGCGTTTGGTTCCAGAGCCAGAACTATGTGTGGAGGTAAGCCCAGCTATCTCTAGTTGGTATCATTCCACCTCCTGCACAAGCTCCAGCTCCTTCCCCACCAGAGAGGTGACATTCCATGTTCCTAGACCTAGCCTAGGCAGGCAGGGATCAACATGCTCAGGTACCCGACCTAGCCTGCTGCCCGACTTGCACTACACCCGACCCCATTTCTTTTCCCTGCAGGTGGTGGGCCAACAGGGTGGTGGCACTATGTCATTCCATCAGGCTGTGCCCAACCGGGCCCCATGGGCCAAGGCCCATCCACCAAACCTCCCAGGTCTGGCTCCAGCAGGGTGCCCCTGTTTCCCTAATCCCGGTGAGGTAGCGCGACTTGAAGTTGCCATTTTCATTAGGGTTTTTGAATTGCTCTTAGTCTGGCCCCTCCCCTGGAACCAGTTTGCCTTGGGAGGTCCTACCAGAGGCTAATGCCCCAGACAACACAGCTCCCAGGATCATTGGGACACACAAACCTCTCCACCACGATAAGGTGGTGATTAAGTAACATCACTAAAAGGAAATGAAATCATTTAAGGGTTTGAAGAAGACAAATTCAAATGCTGGTGTGACTGGATTTTCTGGAACATTTTTTGGAACAAAAACATGGGGAAAACAATTTTTTCTGAAATTTGCTAAATGGATTTGCATAAAACATTAATTTTTCATTTAGCTGAAAGAATTTTGATCATAGTGCTTTGATTTTTTTCTGCCCAGTCACATTCCACCCATCGCAGAACGGTTCACCTACTGTCCTCTGGTGGGGTGAAACAAATACATCTATGGGTACAACAAACCAAATCTGATATCTTAATGTACGTAAAAAAAACAAACAAACAAAAAAAAAAACAAACAATGCTTGAACTAGCAAAATATGTTTTATTGCAGGTCAATCATATCCTTCATTCTACAAAACAAAATATGTTATGTTTGGTTATGATAAAGGCTTAAAATTGCAGGGTCAAATCTCTACAGGTTCTGGAATGACTCATCTAATAATTAGTGAGGTGTTCAAGTTGACTGTATCCTGTATGACAATGAGTATAGGACTTACCAAAGGGTGCCCAGTCACACCAGGTAGCATTATTGGTTATGTTAAGCTCGACTGGCTGAATGACTGTGGAACAGTTTCTGTGCAGTTCACTCTGAGTATCAGGGAGAAAAAAACAGAAAGAAGCAGATGAAATTAACACAACAGTACTAGAGGGGCTAAAGGCAAATAAGGGAAAGTGCTAAACTCAGCTGTCATAAAGTCATTGGTCTATTTTTATAGTGGATATTTGTATTATTAAATACAGGATACAGGAATTGTGAATGCATCTGAGTAAAAATGTGTCTTTTCCAATGTACAAAACATATACTTCATGTGTCTATCCATTAATTTATCTCCTTTGCAATCCCTGCTTATAAATATTTGATGGGGAGGAGTGGAAACATGAGCTCTTGTTTGACTGAAGGTAACTGAAGCTGGGATTCTGTGATTCTGTTTTATTTCACCTTAGATCCTCTTTTGTTCAAGTAAAGATGTTCCAGCAGTTTCTCTTTATGACTTCCAAACTCATATGAAGGAGCCCCAGAGAGCATCTTACAGGGAGCATTCAACCCTGTACAAACTGTATAGAATACAGAAAACTGAAACTGAATTGTCCCAGTTACCTTAACAATGCTGATAGGTTTCCGTGACAGATGGTAGGTTGTGTAGATGAGGAAGGTGAGGAGAAGAATGAAACCGCGATACCTGCAGAAGATAAGTATGAGTATTTCCATATTATTACTAAGTTATACTGCACTACATTTCAGATGCACCT